CTATTTCATTTTAATGGTGTCCAACTGTGAAAATGATGTTACATTCAAGTATAGAGTAATAGCAAATAATAAGTAGGATGGCTGAAAATGTTATATTGGTAGAATTTTCTCACAGTTTTTACTGCTGCTTGTTTTAACTGCTTCAAATAATGTACATTTTAAGTGTTAGATTTGAAGGTATTTTGATCTAGATTTGTTTTTTATTGAAATTCTACTAGTATTAAAATATCTTTGAGACTTTGTTGCAGAAAAAGAGCTCAGTTCTTAGACTGGGGTTTTTCTTTCAAAATAAATGTCAGTAAAAACTGAAGCTTGGGAAGCTCAAGCCTGCCAAGAACTCCCTCTGAAAATGATGTTAGCAATGGATAGTGACTAAGTTTTCTGCCCTAAGAAATGCATCATGTGGTTCACTGCAGTATCCAAACAGTCATGGGCGTATTTACTCTTGCAGATTTCTGATAAGGCAGTAAAATGCTATTGTTAAGATGCAGAACTAAGGCAGAGAAATTTAGTGACTAGCACATATTTCCATGGCAAATATGCAGCAATATTTATATTCCTTTTACCAGCACCTAAAGCATCAACCACTAAATCTGGCAATGGATTTTTTTCAGCAGGCACTACCTTTCTTCTGTCTAATAGTACTTTGTAAGTCTGATGATAAATTTCCTTTAGGACAGGCATGTATTTTAGGAAATTTTTATTTTTTCTTCTGAGAAAAGGGGTTTGTTTTTTTTTTTTTCTTCTGTCCTGAAATAATCAACTGCAATTGTGTTTTGTATGTAATAGGGAACTTCAAATAGAATCACAGTGCAAATATTTTTTACTTTGCTTCTAATTGATAAATAATGCACAAAACCAGAGGAACAAACAGAATTTCATCAATGCTCCAAGTATTCAGGTTTGTGTAAATTACAGGGAAATGAGGCCTCAACACAGTTAATGAACCTTATGACACAAGGAGAGGCAGGGTGATTTAGGTATCCCAAAAGAGCCTGTGCAATAGCCTGTGTACTTTCAACCAATGCATAAGTAATTAAACTCATATATTTAGATTCTTTTGGCCTGGCTTCTCATTCAATCAGTATAACTCTGTTCTTCTGGATTTTAGGTACAGTATTTCAGTGAGAGTCTATGTCATTTGTAATGAGGAATGATGTTTTTCTTAGAAGCCAGGTGCTATTCAGTGCCATGAAAAAAGATACAATATATGTCTAGAAGAATGATTTCAGCATGTAGTGCTTTATTAAAAGGACATTTTATTCTACAAATTATTGAGAAGCTAAAGATACAAACACAACTGAGATTTCCATCAAACCAGGTGCATTTTGCTTCAGAATGCTTTATTTGTTCTGTGTGTGATTTATGACAATGTTTGGATGGTTGGAGCACTAATTCTGACTCAGGAGTTACGAAGCTGCAAACTATTGGTCACTAAAAGGTGTGTTTGTAGGGAAGTACAATTAATGCCTACCTTGTTCTCTTTTATGTTTTCCAGGTGTCTGGTTTAGGTACAATATATGTGTTAGAGACTGAATGTTGGGCAAGATGGAACTGGTCTGGGCCAGTATGGCTAGTGTTCTGAATGCAGAATTATAAAGAGCAAGACCTAGTGATTCCAAAGTCTGCATCTTGCAAAGTGGCCAAAAAATGATATAAGTTTTTTGTCTCTTTTGTGTTTGTTTTAGGAACTAAATAAATTGTTGAAGCAATCTAGAAAGGTATTCTTATATTGTGCCCAATCATTGTTGTTTTTGACCAAAGAACCCATTGATCAAATTATTGTTTTCCTAGTATGGCTCTTATGAGTATGTGTGTGTGTCTTTATGGAATTACTGGTAAAAAAGAACATTCAATAACTCCTGAAAAAAATAAAGGTTAGAGGTAAAGACAAGTAATGAAAAAAAAAAAAAAAGAAAAAACCAAGGAAAAAACCAGTTAAAAAATGTAAAACTACTATTTTACTAACTACTATTAATAGTAATTAGGATTAATAATAACTATTAATTACTGCAAATTAACCTGATGCAACATAAGATTGTACAGTCTTGCACTGCTTAAAATTGCTATGTTCAATTGTAGGTCTTGCTTGTGTTCTGAAAACAATGCCTTGAATTTGAGTGGTGCAGCTTCATGGAAGAGCGCTGTGATGTAGTCCTGTTTCCTTTGTGTTTGGCATAGCATTAGTAAAAGGCCTTTTTTGTGGACAGTTAGCTCAGACAGTGTGCTGCTAACATTCTCATTATGTTCTTAACTTTTAACTTCCCTTGTTTTGAGACAGAATTTAAGTAGAACTTAGGCAATTTTTTTTCTCTTCTCTTACCATTAATTTTATTGGGGTTTTTTGATTGATTTATTGGACGATTGTTATTACAGAAGGCTGAAAGTATACAGTGAAACTTGGTTTCAGTCTGAAATTTACTAAGAAACTATCTAGTGTTTGTTGGTGGAGGAAATATCCTAGGGGAAGGCATTACAAGCAAATGGCACTTTTTCTATAGGACTAACTTTGACTGCCAAGGAAGAATGTGGTCATAGCAAAAAACTTGTAATTGTACTCATGGATAGATTTGCAAAATGTTCTCATTGAGAATTAAAATAAAGGCTATAATCAGTGTGGTTAAATGGATCAGGGATTTCATCAATCGCTATCAAGCTACTTATTTGTAGTTTTAGCCATGGTATTTAACTTAGTGTAAAACACAGTTTGCTGTTATATTAAAACACTAAAGAAGCATTAGTTTACTTCTTGGTTTGTAGAAGACATAAGTGATTGCTATGTCATTTCTCTTTGCTGACATTGTGAGGGAAGAAGGATTAATTGTTGTCAAAAATACAGACAACTGTCTGTTATGTAGAACAATGGAAAAGACCAAGGTTTCAGTTCCATTGGGTTGCTCATCTCTCTGCTAAAGGGTGTGCCAATTGAAATGCAGCATTAGGCATGAATGACCAGTCTGGGTTTGTGAGCTCCTTGTGCGAGCTCGGAGCCTGGCAGGAACGTAAGGCTTTGGAGAGAACTGTGCAGGCGCTCTTTGACTGGAGCTGGTCCAGCTCCGGTAGAGCAGGCAAGGAACTGAAGCAGTGGAGTCCTGGAAGTAAATGCCTCCATGTGGTCTGTTTTGTGGGTCTCTGCACTGTGCTTATCAGCTGCTTTCGGTCTGAGGAACGCAGTGTAGGAAACTTGGGCTCTGTGTTTCAAAAAAGCAGTTCTGGTGCTGCAGAGTTGAGGCTGTCTTTGGAGCAGAACAGCTGCTGTGTGCATAGACTACAATTTCAGAATGCTGCCTTGGTCTGTGATGGTTCATGCAAGGCATTGAGTTCAAGTGTCTTACCTGAAAATCACAAATTTCTATGATTGTTAGTCATAAGCATGAATTGGAACAAGAGCAGACTGAAAGGAAAATGAAGTGGTTGGTTGATCAGCTGGTATATCTTAGTACTAGATGTTAGCATGGTGTCTAGCCATAATTTTTTATATTTCTGTTGATTATGAATGCTTTTTCTAACCAAACAAGTTTTCTGATAGGGTTTAGAGGGAAGAGGTAATGTTCCTCTACTTTATCTGAGAGAACATACAGAACCGTAACTAACTTCCATTTAGGATTTCCCTCTACTTTTTTGCTGTTTTCCTTGCATCAGGCAGTACAGCTGATGTATTATCATTTCAGTTGTATATATGTCAGTGTTGAATTTTTCTTCACAATTACTTTGGGAGCACATAACCGTAGAGTTTTGCTTTTCTGCATTTTTTTCTGAATTAAGAAACTAATTAACTGTAACCCACATCCATTTGTAGAACATAGAAGCTCATTCATAAGAAAAGCCATCAACTTTGATATGAATAATCCTTGTAATTTTTGGAGATTAGATGTTTTGCTTTGTCTTTGTCTTTGCAGTTTTGCCAGTGCTAATCTAGATAATGAATCTTTCCTGGCAGAGGGGTTTTTTATGGGAAATCTTTGGTTCCTTTTATAAAACTAAGTAGTCCGAGACATTCCCTGAAGGATAGTATTTACAGCTGAGGCGTATTTTGTGTTTTGTAGACAAAGCTGTAAACATTAGATGAAGAGCAGGGATGGAAACAAAGTTTTTGTATTATTCTATGCCTATTCTCCTACTGTTTGGTTAGTAATTAAAAATGCATGTGCATTCCTTTATGCTCTCCAGTCCTGAGCTGATGTATCAGTGTTTAGATAATCTTCTATTGAGCTGCAGTGTAAGGCCCGGTTTCCTTTAATTGTTTTATTTATTGTTATCCTTACTGTAACTAAGCTTTTGTGGGGGACAAATAGGGAGGGAGTCTATTTTTTCTTCTAACATTGAGCCTATTTCTTCTCTACCTCCTCTCTCTGTTTCTTTAGTCTTCACCGGGGACTCTTGTCCTATTAAAAAAATTTGGAAGGAAGAGTCACAAGGGCTTCTTTGAGAGTAACTTTGGTTTAGCAGTCTTTATAGCTGAAAAGAAACAGTGAAATATATAATCCAAAGCAGAAGTAAGAATGGGAATATAGAAGTTTAGTGATTATGATGACTTTTTAAATCCTTCTTGTTGAAATGTAATACATGAAAGGAAATGCAAGACACAGCGCTTTAGTGTCTAGGAAGGTGATAAATTCAGTTGTATCTGACTCTGCAAACAGTGAACCAGTGCTTTGGGTATTCATATCCTCAAACTTTATAGTTCAAATGAAAAAAAAAAAATATCTGTTGATAGCTATACTGCTTGTGCCATGTTTTGTGTGCACCTTTATGATGTGGTTAAACAACCCTAAAATATGTTTTTCTATTAATTAAAATTAATGGTCACAAGTGAACATTAGAAAATTAAAAATAATTAGATACAACAATGTTAATATATGATTTTTATTAAGTATAGGGATTTTTCATACATTTAGAAATATACAAAGAGGTAATATACGTCAACATCTTTGTTGACAATTAAAAATATTTTTTTAAATTTGTATTTTGATTTACTTATACTTTATTTATCAGAGAAAGCAACCAGTGAGATGAATACTGCAGAGGACTGGGGCCTCATCTTAGACATCTGTGATAAAGTTGGACAGTCACGCACAGGGTAAGTAACTTCAGGAATTTCCTCCCCAAATGTTTTTAATTCTCTTATTTCAGTCTCATACCCAGGTAAGAGGAATGAATTTTTTGTTATCTTTTATAAACTTCTGCAACAGCTGAATTTAGCTTAAATTAATTACAAGTAAAAGGAAAATGTATGGGGTTTCTGCTGAAATATTTTGCAATCCTTACTTTGGATATACTGGTTGATGCGTTAAAATTAGGACTTGTGTACAGCAGCTTTTCACCAGTGTAACAGATAAATTGATATGTTTTAGCCGTATCCCTGTAAACCCAGGAGGCTTCATGAGGCATTTTTCTTACAGAATCGTAATCTAAGTTGGAAGTGACCTCCAGAGGTCATCTAGTCCAACCCCCCCAGCTTCAAACAGGTCTAATTAGATCAAGTTGCTCAGGACCGTGTCGAGTCTTGAATGCCTCCAAGGTCAAAGGTTCTGCAACTTCTGTGGGCAACGTGTTTCAGTATTTAACTAGTTCTACTTACTAAGTAAGGAAATAAAAAATAATTCTGCAATCTGTTTGCAATTTTTACTGTTCTAACTTGTCTGTTGTATCTTGTCCTGTGACTGTGCAGCTCTAAGAAAGAATCTGGCTGCATCTTCAGTGTATACTCTGAGTAATTGGTTGTTGAAAGCAGTAAGCCCCACTTTGTGGCTCTTCTTCTCAAAGCTGAAAGCACCTCTCCCATCTTTTCCTTGTATGTGACCCTCCCTGATCATCCTGGCAGCTATCTATTGGACTTAGGTAAATAGCCTTCTTGCACTGGGGAGCTCCAAAGTGGACAAAATGCTCCAGATGGAATCTTACAAGTACAGAATGGAGAGAAAGGCTCACTTTCCTGATCTTGTTGGAAAGGCTCACTTTCCTAACCTTGTCCATGTGGTCAGCTCCTTTCTTCATTTAAAACGCAATAGCTTATCCTTGTTCTTATTGGACTTCCAGTCTGCCCATTTCTCCAGCCTGTCCAGGTCCCTCTGAACATTAGCCATGGACTCTAGTGTACTGATTGTTCCCCTTCAGCTTGCTCTGGTCAGTAAGTTACGGAGAGCACTGTTGCTTCAAGCAGAAATCCCTGAAGGATACTGCCTGCTAGCTGGAATTTGCAGTACAAGTGACAACTCTTTGAGCCTAGGAGCTGTTTATACCCACCTTTATCCAGCTGTGTGATAAGGACACTACAAGGGCTTCAGCTGTATGTCAAAAATTTCCTAAAACCAAGGTATAAAACATCTGCTGCCCTCCATTGCTCTCACCATCAGACCGCCAATGTCTTTGTTACAGAAAACAATAAGGCTTTGTGATTGTTCTTCTTGTTTTTAGAAGCTATTCTCTGTCAGCAGGTCTTGAAAAATGTACATTTTGGAGATGTGATACTAAATTAAACACATCTTAACATGGGCTGTTAATGTTTCCATTTTTGATTATTTACTGAGCTCTTTCATAGAATTTATGCATGAACTTCCTTCTTGGACAAGAAAAGATAAAGTATAATTTGAACTAGCAACTAAAAATACAGTTTAAAGACATAATTTCAGAATATTTATAGTGCTTTCAGTCAGTGTAGTATTAAGACTAGTATTAAATACACCTTCTTGAAGCATTTCTTGTAAAAATTTAGGAGTGGAATAAACTCAAGAAGAAAGTTTTGTCACTGATGCTGTGGAAGGCTTCTCTGAGAATGACTTGGATTGCCTTGTAGAACTGCCAGAATCAGTATGAGATGCCAGACAGCAAAGTCCCACCTGGGACTTTTGTTCCCAAGGACTGGTTTGCAAATAAACTTATTCCTTGGGATTAGAGACGGTCTCTGGAGGAGTATATAAAAATAGCACGGCATATTGAGACTTCTGTGCTGTTGTGTATAACTATAGTTAAGATAACAGCTGGCAACTTGTTAATAATGTTTCCTATTAGTCTCTATATGTAAAAATGCATTTCTATTCCTTGAGCATGTTGATGCCAAACTTGTAACAGTTACTATATTATTGAATGTTTCAGTATTCTATTTGATCACTGAAAGCCTTTCCACAGATGAAATTTACTCTCACAGCAACATAGTCTGAACAGTGCTCTAATGTGTGTAGCTGCAAGAGACAGCAGTACTGATAAATCAAGAGATCTTCTGGTAATGTGCAGTTAAATTCCTCTTAGGATTTCTAAGGTTTGTGTTGGTTTTGGTCTTTTTCTTCTGCGTGTTTGTATTTTAATCTTTTTCTTAATAAAATTGTTTTAGAAAAGTGGGACTTTAACCTTTGTAATATTTATCCTGCTTGTAATAGGCTGCCAGCGGACTTGTTGCTTAAATTCAGATTCTGTTAAAACTTGCTGAGAGTGGGTTTTCTTTGTTTTTAATGGATTATGTTGTACAATAGCAAGGTAAAGCAAGACAGTGTTTCCCATTAAGAAGTTTAAGTGAGATATGCTTAGCTGTTTGAAATTCTCCTGCAGTCTAAGTTCCTCTGACAAGGATGCAAGTCTTCTTAGCTGGGATCAGCTTTAATCTTTTAACCAATTCTGCTCCAGTACAAGCTGTTTGTTACTGTTCTTGGCAGAAGTTTAGATTGCAAAAATCTCTCCTTTGTGGATTTTCTTTGTACTAGTCTGTAAGCTCCGTTGCATCCTGCAGCATTCTAGATGTGGATTGCCTTACACCTGAAGCCACAGCAGCCTAAAAAACACTTATTCATTAAGTAGCGCTTCTGGTACAGCACATTGTCTGCAAACTTGTTGGTATCCTGATTAATTGTTGGAAACCTGTTACGCTACAAAGGTGTTGCATTTTCTCATAAGATAAATTAGTTACAGTTCCATAACATAATTGCTACTGTTATTTTTTATGTTGTTATACTTTCCATACCAAGAATTGCAAATTGCTGAAAATGTTATCGTGCTTCCTTTAATCCAAACAGCTAGAACAGATTTTTAGCAAGGTAGAATTCCACTGAATCCCTCTCTTTTGCTATTTTCTCTGTTTTTTATGAATTTCAAAATCAGAGTTGCTATTAACATTTTTGTAGAAAACACAGGAAAGACAGAAAATATGTCAATATTTTAAACAATATGACTTGTTTACAATAGCTTATACTAAATACCACTCTATGTAGTATAGAATTAACATTTTCTGCATGTTTCTCATATCAGGGTCATAGGTGATCTAAAATTTGTCTAATGATGAGACAATACTTTGTTTAATCTCTGAATTTCCATTAGGAAGTCATACAGCTCAGCAGTTGCACATCACATTGTTTGCATCCTGTTTTTTGCCAATATTAGCTCAATGAACAAGTTGCCTTTTCAGCATAAAAATATGATTAAAACAAAAGTTTTACTGTTAGAGGCAATCCTTTCTGTTTCCTGGTTTTGTACAGCATTCTTGAAAACTTGTTCATTTTTAACATTTTTAAAATTTTAATCACAAGTAGTGATTGTTCACGCTATCCTTTGCAGGGCCATGAGTTGGACTTCAGTGGTCTTTAGGGGTCTCTTCCAGCTTGGGATGTTCTATGATTGTATATTTGACTGGCATTTTAAATGCAGGAAAAGCATTGATTTTTGCATAGTGTTGCTTTTCTGCAATGAAAATGCTTACAAAACTGAATCTATAGTTTATCATCTCAGAATAAAATAACATTAAAAAATTTGAATGATTCATTAAACAGAATAAAAGGAAAATTAATGAACAGGTATGGTGTATTTTAGCAAAGATGGCCCCCCTTTTTCAGTCATTTCAGTGCTAGTCAGTTCCTAACTCCAATCGGGTTTGCATTTGGCTTTGAGACACTTGTACTGTTTATTTCATGAGACGTATCAGTCTACATTGCAACTTTCACAACTTCAGATTTTTTCTGGAAAAGTTACTCAATAAAAAAAAAGATGGCTGAAAAAAAATGGAGTCAGTGGCTGAGAGGCACATCAAGGGTTGAGAAAATAGAAAGGTTCATTGCAGCACTCTCTGTTGGGGTGGGTATTGGAAAATTGTCATTGGGAAATGGTTTGTCCATATTGCTGCTTGCCTAACTTTGTCTTGATTCCTGTAGGATTAATCACTCTCTCAGCAAGTGAGTGTTCTGGTTAGCTGTTTCTTCTTTGGTTGTTTTTGTGCCTGTTCATGCAAGAGAGAACAGCAAAATTGCTTACTTGATAGTTTTCCGATGTGTCTTCCATTTTTTCCCCCTCACATTACGCAATCTCGGTAGCATTTTGCATTGTAATTGCAGTGTATGTCTAGCAGGCTGACCAGGAAGCTTTGTGACCAGTCTGTTTCTGAAGAAGCAAGAAGGAAAGCTGAGTCCCACTGAGTTACCTTAGACTGTAAATAAACAATAAATTCCTGAACATATCTGAAATGTTTTGTGCAGAGTAGTACTTTAGATTGCAAATGCTGCTAATTGTGCCCTTGTTAAATAAAATACAATCAGATTTTTTTTCTACTTTCTAAAAAGAAACCTAAAATTCGTTGTATTTTCTATATGAATTTGTTTATGATACCATATGATGCCACATATGATACAGAGCTTCTATTGTATCTTGCCATATTTTCACCCTACTTATTTGTTATTACTACTCATTGTGATGCCTCTGAAATTATGATCATAACATCATTGGAGTGGAGCTGTGGCCAAATATTTATATAGTACAATTTGGAGAGATGCCTAATAAGTCGATAGAATTCTACACTCATAGAGTGCATGCTTCCCTCTGGTTTCTGCATAGTGCTTCTCATAATTTACACACTAAGTTGTATGATGAATTAATTAGAAGTAAAAATAATAATTACAGGCCTGTCTAGAATAGGTTTTCTTACTCTGTGTGACTAAAGATTGGTACACCTGGATTATTTTCTTTACCTACATGTAATCAAAAGATTTCTTATTTTAAACATTTGAGTACTTAAAAACATTTAACACTCAAGTATTGATAATTTCTTTTAAATATATGAACAAGTAGATTTTGCTTGAGATATGTGGATGATCATTTGGCTTTGAGGCTTTCTTGTTACTTTTAATAAGACTTTGGATTCCTTTGTAAAAAACATCATAGGCGAATGATCCTGTTCTTGATCTGCTAAGCTCTTGATCCTGCCTTTATAAATACTGGCTTCACAATGGGCAAGTACTTTTTTGAGCTTGCAATCATATCACATTGTTAATCCTATCATAAACTAATGGTTAAAGAAAGCAGTTATTTCTAACAATTTTAGTCTGTATTCTTTCTCAGTTAAAGTGAACATATGAGAAGTCTTGGATAATTAATAGATAAAAAGTAGTACTTGCCTTCATCTGTGATAATTGGTATATGAAGGTATACACTGAATGATATGTACTTGTGCTGCATGACAGCACTTTCTATAATTAGTGCCACTAAATATGAGGTGGACATTTCTGTAAAATGTAGACACTGCCAAATATAGTATAGCCAAGCAGTAGTGTAACTTATACTTGAGTTTCATGTTAGTTTTTGGATATCAGTTCAACAGAAAAATACTTATGCTTCCAAAGACAACCATGCTATAAATGTGTAAACTCTGTAAACAGTGTGTAAAATCTTAGTTTAGATTTACCTTCTCTTTTCCTCCTTCTCTACTTACCCTCTTCCAGGGTTATCTTTCCAGGGCTCTTCAACAGATAATGATTGTATGCCCTTGACAATTCCTACCTCAGCCTGGCTCAGCTTTCTCCTACTTTATAGATGGAACAAAGTATCAGAAAGTCACATAGATTTTAACATGCTAAACTTTCTGAAGTCCCCTTTCAAATTCTTTGTTGAAGTTGCTTTTCATGTTGTTTCTATCTACCACAACATAGGTATTTAATTGTTTTGAAATTTTGATGTAGATTGTCTAACAGATTTTTTTTTAGATATTATTGGTTCATTACATGCCTTCTTTATAAATGTTATTCTGTAGATTAATAGAGACTCTGAGGAATATGGTGATAAGTCAAAAGTAGCAAAAGGGTGTTGGTAAATCAGTATGTAAGGAAGTGTTCTTGCATATATATTTGAAATATAGAGGAGTAGGTGCATGGACTGCAGAGAATTCCAGTTCTCTAATTGTAAGGGATTTTATGCATTTCTGGAGTATTTACAGTAATTCGCTCTAAGTACAAGAAATAATATAAATTACTGAGAGATTTTGATAATTAAGAGAGATACATCCTAGAGATATAGTCCTACAGATAGAAATGGTGTTTAACTGTTTATGGTGTTTAACTTATTTTTGAATGTTCTTGTTTTAAATTATAAGCTACTAAATAATTTACTCATGGTGTTCAGGAGCTCTTGCTATCTGTATGTTGTCAGCATTGTCATGTGTGCAATGGGGAATGTTCATTCCATTCCATATTTTTGAAGCTGTCTTGTGTTTTTTAGGCCTAAAGACTGCCTCCGCTCTATTATGAAGAGAGTGAACCATAAAGATCCGCACGTCGCTATGCAAGCATTAACAGTAGGTTCTTTTAAACGTAGTTCATTTTTTTCCTTAAAAGTTATATTACAAAAAAATTTCTAAGTTTTAATCTTTCTTTCATTAGCTTCTAGGAGCATGTGTATCAAACTGTGGCAAAATCTTTCATTTAGAAGTCTGTTCAAGAGATTTTGCCAGTGAAGTAAGCAATGTGTTGAATAAGGTAATGTATTACATTGACTTTTACATTTCACCTGTAAGTGAAATTAGATAGAGAGTTGGGGTAATCTGTAGTGGAATAGAATCTACTTTTAGAGGACTGGAAAGAGTGGGGAGGGGAAGGAGAGAAGATTACGGTAAAAACTGTGGCTGTCAGAACTTCCTGAATGCCACTTCATACTAGTTAACAAAGGTATTCTGCCTGGTCGAGGTGTGGCGTGTTAATTTATAAATAAGCTATTATATTTTCACTTTAAATAACATCAGTAAAACATTAAATACAAATATGATGAAATGGAGATAGAATGGGGGTTCTATGTAATCTTATTTTATTAAGCACATACTGTACTGGCACAAACAAAATGCTGATGTATTCTGCCTTTATTTATTTTACTATTCTAATAAAGACTGAGTGCTAAACTTGACTACAAAGTAAGGTATCTGTATGTTTTATATTGACAGTAACATGCAGTTATTTGAAATTAAGGTCAGATTCTTACATTAGTTAACTAGTTTCTACTGTCCATGCAGGGTCATCCAAAAGTTTGTGAAAAGCTGAAAGCCCTTATGGTGGAATGGACTGATGAATTCAAGAATGACCCACAGCTTAGTTTAATATCCGCTATGATAAAAAACCTTAAGGAGCAAGGAGTTACTTTCCCAGCTATTGGTTCACAGGTATATTGGATTTTTGTGTTTGTTCTCAAAGTGTCACAAATCCTTTTTATCCTCAGCTCTGTATTTTACAGTTTGTAGTCTTGAATTCTAAAATGTTTGGCAAACAAAATGAAAGCTACCTTGTCTTAATAAAAGACTTTGTGGAGTGAAATGCTCTAAATTATTTTAGATTTTTATGTGGCAGATGAATACAAAGCAAAATGGTGAACTTAATGCACTGTCAATTTTTTGTTGGATTAATTTTTGCATCTTTTATTTTTGACCAGGCTGCTGAACAGGCAAAAGCAAGTCCAGCTCTAGTTGCCAAAGATCCTGGTACGGTAGCCACCAAAAAGGAAGAGGAGGATTTAGCTAAAGGTGAGTGCGTTTATTTGCTGTCATGATGCATATTGATTTATTTAAATGAACAGTAGCCAATCTGTATGTGTTATTAATGGTTTCTTCCATAGTCAACCCACCAAAGTCTACTTTTAAAGTGGTCTGTGTCTCAAAAGCATATCTGCATGAGTTTCATAATTTTGTGTCCACGCTGCCCCTTCTTAAACATTTTTTTCTGTAAACTTGAGCTGCGTTTAATATGAGTGAAACTTCTCTGCTCAGTCAAGCTTAATTGAAAATGACCCAGAAATGTGAAATTATTCAAGGAAATGATAGGGAGGAAAATAAAGGAAGGGGCAATTTTTTTTGCTTGTTTAAGCAAAAATAATTGTGTTAATTATGAATTAAGGAGGGAATTTACTGTAAAGGTGAACAAGCACTAGCACAGGTTTCCCAGGGATGTCATGGTATCTTTATTCTTGGAGATGTGAACAAATTGTCGTTGGCAGTCAGTTGTAGTGACCCTGCATGAAGAGGGGATTGGACCAGATGACTTGCAGAGGTGCCTTCCAACCTCAGCCAATCTGTGTAAATCTGATTCTGTGAATCCAGGCTAAGAGCTTCTGTCTAACAGAGAACCAGTGTGCACTGGAATAGATGTACTTTTTAATGTTTCAAGCAATCTGGAAAAGTTCAACAGGGTGTAAGATGTAAAATAAGAATGTAAATATTTTACATCAGTTTAAGGTTGTAACAATAATAAAAATTTGATGACTTTGTGGAGTTATTCTCTTTGTTCTTAAATGCTATTTATTCATCCTGTCCATGTTGGAAGGCTCAGTAAATCCATAGGCAGAATTCTGCTCTCTTTGTTATTTACCATTAATTCTAAGAGAAAGACATAAAGTCATTAAAATGCAACAGGAATAGAACTATACTAAAAGTTTTCACTGAATTAAATTTTCATATCAATCAACCCATTTTTATAGGGAATTTTCATCTGAATAACTGTTCTTTTGTAGCTATTGAGCTGTCACTAAAAGAACAAAGGCAACAGCAAACAACACTTTCCAGTTTGTATCCAAGCACCTCAAGCCTTTTAACAAATCACAAACATGAGGGCCGAAAGGTTCGTGCAATCTACGATTTTGAGGCTGCTGAAGATAATGAACTAACTTTTAAAGCTGGAGAACTTATAACTATACTTGATGACAGGTAAGTTATATAGAAAACCTACTAGAATTATGTTAAACTGTAAAAATTAACTCGAAATAATTATATCTTCTATGTAGAAGCATACCCTGAAATACAATGAATGGAAATTTTTTGTATCAATACTTTTTGTACTTAATACTTAATTAATTAATACTTAATTTTTGTATTAATACTTTATTTTGTTATCTTTTCAATTTTTTTACAAATAAATGTATTTACATAAAAATTCCTGTGTAAGGATTTCTGCATATATGCAAGTTATATTTATGTGCTAGTGATATAAAAGCCTTTACTGTGCAATTCCTAGGAAAGTTCCATGTAAGTATGTGATTTCTGATGTATGGGGGCTTTACTTTTTTTTTTTAATCTTTAGTGATCCAAATTGGTGGAAAGGTGAAACTCATCAGGGTATAGGATTATTTCCATCTAATTTTGTAACAGCTGATCTTTCTGCTGAGCCTGAAATGAGTAAGTAATTTTACATTTCTGTATATATGTCTAACTCTGCCGTGGCTCATGGGTGATTTCCTTTCCCTTATGCTGGAGTCAAGTTGAAAATGAATGTGATAATTGAATTAAAACTGAGGAGCCCTTGCTATGCTATCATAAGTTGCCCAAATTGTCTTTGCAAAATAATTTGTTTTACTATTTTATTTTAATCATGAACCTGCTGAAAAATGCTGCTGTCTGCTGCTGCCTTTGTCAGGAGGTTTTTTAAGACTCATGAAATCACTCCATTAACACCTAAATAAACATGGGCAACAGCAGCTTTTTTTCCAAATTACTTTTTTGTCCAGTTGTTCAATGGTGCATGTCTAACTGAGATGAAAATGAAGGCCCCATGGCAGATAGGACTTGGAGACAGACTACCAGTGTTCAAATTGTTCAAGAAACCCAACTACTGTAGATATGTACATGTGCATAGTGGACAGAGGGATTTTCTGCATGCAGCTTATTTAGATACATCCAATCTACTTTAAATATTTAATAAAATATTAAATATTAGGTAAGACTTCCAGATTCTAGAGCTGATTTCTGTAAATCTCATGGGTTTGTAAGATTAATCTTCTGTGATCTCAGTTTGAGGGTGTTGGAAGTATGAGCAGGTCAGCAGAATTACATGCTCTACAGTCATTTGTGCTATGCTAAGACTATCTAACAAGAGTCATATTTGGCTTTTTTGCTAAATATAGAGCTTTTTTAGAAGGATGAGCAGGTCAGCAGAATTGCATGCTCTACCAGTCATTTGTGCTATGCTAAGACTATCTAACAAGAGTCATATTTGGCTTTTTTGCTAAATATAGAGCTTTTTTATGCTAGTCTCCACTATAGAGGAATGAGATCCTTTGCATATAGGATTTGGTGATGAAGGAATAGAGAAACATGAGACCTTTCCACTGTAGGCTTTGCTTTGGAGAAAAGAAGGCTCAGTTTGTCATAGATTGTTTTATCAATTTTATCTTAAACTTGACTTGGTAGCCCTATTGTTTCCAATCATTCTTTCCAAGTCTTTTATCCTGATGACTTTTTAATATATGTTATTTGTAGGGAGACAATGCTATAGCCATTTGCTTGCTAAATCATATTTCTGCTGAGCTTGTGTGAACTGATCTATTTTTTACAATGTGATTTACAGATCAGAAAATTATTTAGGTCTGTGGCTTTCAAATGTCAATAAAATACTAATTTTTAAAATTGTCACAGTAGAGATTTCAAATGCAAGGAACCTATAAACTATAGTTTATATAATATTTATGTCATTGTTTATTTTTTCTTTATAAAATTAAACTTGGCTGTTTATCTTACAGTGAAAGCTGAGAAGAAAACAGTGCAGTTCAGTGATGAAGTTCAAGTAGAGACAATAGAACCTGAGCCAGAACCAGTTTATATTGATGAAGTAAGCATGGCAAAAATACTGATTGGTATAAAATGCACTGCTGGGACATTTAAATATATCATGTTTAACCCTTTCATCTTATACTTCAAAAGTGTGATAAAAAGAGCATGGAAAGAGAGTTTTCTTTAAAATAATAAATAACATTTTCAGTATTCTCTTTTCTTTAAGAGTCTTGAACTTTTTAGGAATTTCTGAAACTGATTTTGGAGCTGCATTCCATTTAGGACCCTACTTGAGGGTTGTACATCTGTTTACTTCCAAGCTAGAATCTTCGTGCTGAGTGGCACATCTACTTTCAGATTTTCTTTGAAGTACTTCAGTACTTCATAGAGATACCCATCTTGACTGCTCACTTAGATTTATTTCCAGTGTAACTACCACTGTCTACCCTCTTTCTGTCCCTGAAAAGTCTGAAATTCTGTTCCCGTGTAAGTAATATTTAGTAAGATATTTACAATCTCACCACAGTGATCCTATAGGGTTTCCAGGAACATTCAGTCCAGGAAGTTTTTCCCCCTTCTTTTTTTTTTACCTCAGCTTGGGTTCTGTCATTGTTTTTTGAAATGAGAAATCAGTTACTGCCTTCCTGAAGTCCTATTGAAGTCCCACCTCAAAAACTCTTCTTCCCAGGAGATACTAGTTTGTAGCCTGCTGAAATAGATTATCTGAGGCCTGTGTTGAGGTGCATTCCAGCTTTTGTTGTCTGTGAGTCCATTGTTGATTTTTGTTTTAGTGTCTTCTTTGGTTTTTAAATTGGCCACAGTATAATTTTTAAGGAAGTAGTTAATTTGACTTTTTCCAACCTTTCCATGGTTTAAGGAGGACAAAGCATGATTTTCTACTTTCATACAACCTATATAACTCAATGTGAAAAAGGCTATTTATTTGATAGTGCTCAGCTAATAAATGATTAAAAATAATTTAAGTGTAATGTTTTTGGTACTTTAACCAATATACTTCAGTCCAAGACATATTTTTCAAAGACTTTATGCCTGTTTGTTTTTTAACCTTTGATGTTTTTATTATAAAAGGGTTGCACTTAAACTCCTTGCTCAAGCTCAACTTATTCTGAAGTAAATCCTAAGATGCCTCCAAACATTATCTTAAAACAACATTTCATTACATTGGTAGTGACATGGCTTGTACTGAACAGGCCTCATGCACTTAAAATTGCTTTTCAGTGAATTTGAAGTACTTTCTCAATGTATTCTGTCAAAATATATCCAGCAATCCCACTAGGTGGTGGTATTGCATATGTAATATCTAGGCTGGAAAAATAGGAGCTGCTCAGAAAACAATACATGTTCAGAAGGACTTTTAGGAATAAAGGACATTCCACTTGTTACCACTATTTTTTCTTATTTAGCATTTCCTTGTTCGAGCATCTTCATTCATGTAAAGTAGCATGTATAATTTGCATTTTCTTAAAGTTAGTCTAGTTGATTCTCAAGCGCCAAGAGATCAAAATGGCTGTTCTGAACAGCGGCTTTAATTCACTATCCTGGAAGTGTTAATTCCCTTGCTGCCACATTTGCCCTAATAATACAATTTGTGTTTCAGGATAAAATGGACCAACTTTTGCAGATGTTACAAAGTGCTGATCCATCTGATGACCAGCCAGACCTCCCAGAACTGCTTCATCTTGAGGGTAACAGAAAAGAATGAGTTTTTTCATTGTTGTTTTCCTCACTGGTAATTTTCTGTATCAATGCAAATTGAAACTAAGCTGAAACTACTTCAGCTTCGTGTACATGTGAGAAGCATGCCTGAGAAAAGTGCCTGAGCCATAATTATCTTCTCAAACTATTTACCCTCTTCAAGACACATAAATACTTAATTTGGTCATATTCATTCATCATTTTTTCCTTCACAGGGTAGCACAGCATGAGTAGCAAAGGGAGTGTCAGGAAGATTCCATGAGAGGAAGCAGAAATACTAGGGAGATTAGAATAGATCTGTGGGTGTGCCACATGCTTTTCACTTTCATGTGTATTTGTGGAGGAGTTGCATATTAACAAATAACTCATAGAGTGCTACAAACTAATCTTCTCTTTGAGTCATTGTTTAGACTGCTTCTTCATAGAGATATTATAGATCATTTTACCTAGGCTGATAGATGGACCAAAATTTTTAAAATGGAATTTGAAAAAGGAAGAAAGGAAACTTCCCAATTACAAGACACAACATAGGCTTAAACTGTTAATTCAGATGACACCAGACTTTGTTAAGAAAATGGCAGTTTCTACATCTATCTAGAAGTTAATAATTAAAAAATGAATAGGTTTGTAAACTTTTAGATATCTCCCGTCTTTCCACACCCATTTGGTTCATCATGTCTGTAAATGAATCCTGTTTTAGAAACTCACATCAGCAACATGTCTGCACATATTCTAGTTCCACTGAAACTAAAGAGAGGTGAAAAGAAACGTGACTGGTTTTATTCTTTCAAGTCCCAAATATAGGTATAGAGGCTGTTATCTAAGAAGCAGATTGCCTGTATTTGATCCAGGGCAGAGGCAGAGAAATTAAAGGTATGCTGGTCAACCAGCCTACAGATATGGCTTACTTTAGGAGTTGCTTCAAAATGCACTGTGAGATCATTAAAGCAATGCTGAATTTTATATTGAACTGTGGGACTGCTCCTAGAATTTGAAAGCAGTAGTGTAGTCAGATGATTACTCCCCAGCTACCTGTAACAGCACTTGCCAAACTTATGGCTACATATAGTTCTACAATGCTAATTCGAGATTACTTGCGCTACACTTAATTAGGTTTTGGTAAACTACTGTTTTTGGCGTAGGTTCTGAAAATTTTGCTGTAGATGTGTTTTGAGTCCTTGGTTCATACCAGTGATGGTACATGCTGATCAACGTTTGATGGAAAAATCCCTTCATTTTCTTCTGCCATCCATGTGTCCAGTCACAAATGTCTTTGAACTGGAGAGCTCATCTGTTCAGGAGCCCAGAGTTTGTGGTTGGCAGCAGAGCCGTCATCAGGTTAACAGACATCTAAGCGATCCTTGTCATGCCTTTTGCCACACTTTGTGCTGTACATAAAAGCAGGCAGAACAGCTTTTACATCTTTTACCAACACTTTTGCCAATGTATTACTGATCCCAGGTTCAAAGAAGCAGATAGGTACCTCTCATACAACTCCTCTTTCACCTGGACTTGCCTTCAAGGAACTCAATAATTATGTCCTTTGACTCATCATGGCTCAGATGTTTTCAGGACCTTCTGCATTTCTAATATTCGAAATTTCCCTTTCAGCTTCTGAGTCTGTTTATTTTATATTTTACAAACTCTGCCTTTCTGCTAATTAGCCGTGGTTTGCTTGGCAGTCAGATGAGCCCCATGTCCTTGTGCTGAAGGGAGGCATGGGGTGCATTTTTATTTTAATGCTTTTTCATTCTGATTCTGGTAAGATTTTGTGTTGCTTTTTGTACATGTCAGTGGTTTGAAAAACCCCCTTCCCCCAGTTAGAATTCTAGTGAGACTAATGTGCAATTAGTGTCTTTGATGTGCAGATGATTGAATCATTGCAACCAGTTTTCTCCTTCATTGTTTTCATAGTCTACTTGTGGTAAAGTTGGATGTGCACATGATCTAGGTTGCAGTGCCAAATCCCCTTCCTTTAAGAAGAGGTCACCTTTGAATTCACATTAACCTTTTATGCAAAATAATTTCAGTTTTATACTTCCTAGATGTTAAATGTGTTTTGTTTCACTTTATTTTTATTTTAAAATATACTTTTTAAATTCTACCAGTACTGAAAACTTTAGCTGGGTCTCGTTCTTAAATTGGTCATGACGCTACCTCTGTTAGTAAAAATTTTTTGACGCACAAATTATAGTAATGAACTACAACAAAATTGGACTAGCATCTATTTCTAGCTAATTTTTTAATTGCTTTCTGACTTTGCAGTATAGAAATGTTTATTACTCTGATATATTTTAATGTCTTGCTATTTTAGCAATGTGCCACCAGATGGGACCTCTCATAGATGAAAAACTGGAGGATATAGACAGGTAAAAAGAAATGTCATGTGCTTTGACCAAAATTAAAATTCGTTCTTAGAAACCAGAGTTATTACTTGATAATATCTTAATTTCTGTGAATACTGGCAAAGAAAAGATGTGTATTTATTAGTAGTTTCTCTGAGAAGAGGACTGATGATTTTTTTTCCCCATAGTCACATAACAATTTATAGTGTTGTACCATGTGGCTTTCTGGCACTTGTCAGGCATCTCTTTGCAGTAAAAAAATGTTACTTAACACACTTCATGAAATTACTCTGTGTTGTCTGTCTTATAATAAAGTTATCTAAATTGTAAGATTAACTGTAATATATATTTTCTAGGAAACATTCAGAACTTTCAGAGCTCAATGTTAAAGCAATGGAAGCTCTTTCTTTGTATAACAAATTGATGAATGAGGACCCAATGTATTCCATGTATGCAAAACTACAAAACCAGCAGTATTACATGCCGTCATCTGGTGTTTCTGGCTCTCAGGTATGGATGTAACCTTTAATAGCCATTGACCTTATCAAGTTCTCTCTGAGTGAGCAGTGTTTTCTCTTAATTTTTTTGCACAGTATGTAAAAAAATAAAAATGAAAAAGTTTGTTTTCAGCCACAAGCTTTGGATGCTCTTCTTTTGTGGGTTCTAATGCTTTTAGTATTTTTCTGTTCAGTTCCTTTTGATCAAAGAAAAAGCCCATCCTGGGCTTTAAGTAGCATAAAATTTAAAAATTGCCAGGACTTTGCATAGTGGGTCAAAGAAAATAAACAACCAAAGGTGTACCATTTCTCCCTATCTCGTCATAGATAATTCAACATGAAAATGATGCTATGAAAGAATTACCATTTTTAACTTCAGTAATTTAAATGCTAAATGCTCTTCACTGATATTTTAAAAAAAGAAAAAGGAAACAAAAATATTTGAGAAGTCTTTAAGTTCTAAATCAGATATTAAATAGCAAATTTTCTTGTATTTTATTTCTAATACTGCTTTATTTAACTTCCTAGGTTTATCCAGGGCAAACTCAAGGTAATGCATATTTGGTGGCAGGGAGTGCACAGATGGGCCACATTCAAGGTTACAATCTTCCTCCAGAACAGCTCCCTTCTCTCAGCCAAGGCACAGTTACTCCATCTGCCAGCTCAGTAATTCCTGGGCAGCCTGCACAGACGTCTTACACAAAGTAATTTTAAGCATTTTTTTTTATTCAAGTTTAAATCAATTTAAACAGAGACTCTTTTTTAAATTACAGAAGTATAATTATAAACACAACTGAAAGATATTTTAGTGCAATCTTTTCCAGAGTGCTTTTTATTGTTTTTGTGTATTTGGTAAAAATTCCTGACAAACTTCTTAAGTTTTCAATTTTTTTTAAAAATTTTATGTAGTTTTTAATTTTCTGTATACAAAATATGTAATATATATAGCTCTATACTTTTTATATAAAAAACATAGAGAAAATGATACAGACATGATTTTGTAGTATTAGTAGTAACTTTTAATATAGTTTTAATGGTGAAGATTATATGCTGCTCTGGCTGGCTCTGCATAATTTCTGAGAGCATAAATTCTACTGCTGCTTTGTCAAATATCTTACCACAGAAGAATGGGGAGAAATCTGCTCATTTTGGGAAAAGAAGTGAATGGGCTATGAATACTGACTGAGCCCAAATAAGGAAGCTAAAAGAGGCTTTTTGCATTGGCTGGGTGGCCAAAGATGCTAAGTTTTGGTTAAGTTACCTATATTGTGGAAAGGTTTGTGGGTTTTTGTTAATTGGTTTTTGTTTGTTTGGGTTTTTTGTTTTTGTTTACTCTCTGTGGAAAGTAATTTTATTCTAAAAGGATGGGAGAGACATCTGAGTCATTAATGTATTTGTTAGTCCTTGTCCCCAAAGGTACTTATTTGGGATAGTAAAGCATACAATGATAATGAGTTTCTGCATATTCATCTGACTTGTTTTGCTATTTAAAAGAGTTTGTTGGGTTTTGTTTGTTTTCATGAACAGAATGGAAGATAGATGGTATTCCATGTTGCAATTAAAATCAATCAGAAATACAGATACATGGTCTCATTTTAAATCCATGGGGTGTACCTACTGGTATGTTTAAATCTGAAGAGTGTGTTTGAGTTTTAATGGGAATACTCATTGGCTACAGTTTTAAATCTGCGGTGTGTCCAGAGTTTTTCTGTGTATAAATACAACAACTGAAGAAACAAAGTGTTGCTGTTCTGTTGGTAAATTGTTAATTCTGCACTTTAAATATTTTTTTCATATTTTCTCTTTATTTCTTTGCAGTGCAATGGTTGGTTCTGTTGCTGGAAGTACCTTCTCTAACCAGCCTTCAGTGTATAGTCCACCACCTGGTACTGTTGATGTTGCTGCTTATCAGAATGCTGGAACTAATATGTCCCAGGTGCCAAACTATAACTTATCATCTACAGCTCTGCCACAGACAGCAGGCAGTCAGCAAGCACCTCCACAACAACCACAGCCTCCACCACCTCAACAACCACAGCACAGTTACTCACAGAAGGCTCTGCTATAGGATCTAGGACTTCTGATTCCTAATCTTCTTTAACCTCTGCTAAAGGCGGTTGGCGATTCTATGAGTTCCTTCATTTAATCTCTTAAACTCTGTTTATCCTCAGCTTAATAAGAATCTCTCTTGGTGAACAAGTTCAATTTGCACTGACTTTTTAGGATTTTTTTTTAATTTTGCGGAAGAACTGATATATTTAGGAAATTTAATTCCTTTTAAAATGCCTAAAATTGGTACAAGATTATTTATGTATGGTTAAATTGGCTAGTTTGTGAAAACTCAACCATTGCAAACTGTTGTGGCATATATGTTATGTACATATAGTGTGTGATTGCAGTAGTGCCCATTTCGTATAACTATGGTGGTCATGTGAATATATTTAACACAATGTTTAAAAATAATTTGCTTTACTATTTAATTTTAATCATGAACTGACAACCATATTTCATAGTTTTGTCTAGTTTTAAGACAGATGCAATGTCTTTTTCCAGTGCAGGAAAAACAGTAATTCGGCATGTCATGGTTACAATTACAAGCTAAGGTCTATATATGAATTTATAAACTTAACTAAGTTTCACTACTTCTTGAATTGAACAAAAGTGTATCGTAACTATTAGATAGCTTATCTACCAAAGTAAACTTGTTAACTAGTAAATAATTTGGGGGGATAACAGCAAATTATGATTCTGCTTTGGACATAATTACTAACTTCAAACTACTATTCAGAGGCTGCTAAACATATCATGGGACCATGAAATAGAACATCATTTTATCATGAGAAGCATGTAATTTATTTTTCCAAGTTGTTTTTTAAAATGAGAACCAGAACTGTATTCTGTGTGTGTTGGTAGAGATTACACCAAAGAAAGACAGAGGAACTGATGTGAAAGAGAAACAATGGAGTTTTAAGCTGGAACACACAACATGAATTACACTATTTTATTCAAGTCTTCTTAATTAGAACATGTTGAATTATGGACATGTAAATTACTTTGCTGAACAAACCTTCAGGGCTTCATTATATCTCTTGTGGCCTTGCTTAACAATTTGTTCTGTTTACTGTTCTAACACAAACACTTCTGCCTTAAATGTCTGTTTCAATTTCCAGTTGTACCATTTAAGTTTATTAGCCCTTCTACAGTTTGAGTAGTTCATGAGGCATCTCATCTAAATCCACTTTTAGGTTACTTTAAATTTTCTTCTGCAGCAACATGCATTAGCCTGTTTTAAACCCTTGTGTTCCTCAGTAACTTTTTAAAGCATGGTATTTTCTTTCTGTGAATGAGGTGCTGCAAAAGAAATGTGGTAATGGAAGGCAGCATTTCACGTGTGCTTGAGCAGAGTTTCTTGTATAAAGACTGTTGTTACTTTGTGCTTGTAGTCCATCTTGTAATGCATCCTGGTTTCATCTTTTCCAGCAGTTCTAATTCCACTAGAGCGCTGGGTGGTTTCAACATCAGATCTGGTTTTAGTCCTGTGTGTATGTCAGAAGTTGTTTGTTTTGTGTACTATATTTTAGTGTGATGCTTCTGGAATTAAATGTTGCAATTGTACATTATACTATAAAATGAGCTCTGTTATCCCATATACTGCATCTGTTCACAGTTACCTGACATGTCTTTGTTTCACTATTTTAATTGACATCACTGTTCTGCCAGATACTTTCAGGTGACTGCTTTGCATAACTTCTGACTGGGGTGGTTACAAAACGTGCCCATGGTTGATCTATTCCAGCTGGGGATGTTCTAGCCAGCTGGTTGATCTAATGCTAGGATTTTCACGTATTTGTTTTCTCTAAAATTTTTAAGAATCCTTGAAAACTGTCATTAATTATTTCAGTACTTTGTGTGACCACAAAAGGCTGTGAAATTTGAAAGGAAATACTAAAGAAAAAAAAAATAATCTGACATACTCTGTCATGGATGGCTTTTTATGGATTGAAGAAGTGATGTCTTTAGAAAGGACTTGTAGTATAATTTAGATTGTGTTCTTTGTGTGCATTAGGTGTCTTATTCCAAAATCAGATAGTCAATGTATAGAAATGTATAATTTATACATAAAAGTGAAAATAATTTTTTTTATTCCATTGTTCTTAGTCCCTGATTCAAGGAGAAGCTTGAAGAATCAAGGTAGTCTTTTTGATATTAACAATTGTATTCTTAGGTTTTCACATGTTGTGTCACATGTTCCCTAATGTGAAACTTCCATACAGAAATGACCCAGAAAAAAATTTGTTAGTAATCTGTCATTGTTTTTAAAACTTTTGAAGCTTTGCCGAAAAAAATGACCCAGAAAAAAATACATTTTGTTAGTAATCTGTCATTGTTTTTAAAACTTTTGAAGTTTTGCCTTGATTTACAGAAATGTTAGATCCTGGTTTCTCATTGGAATACTGAACCCTTATGTGCATCACAGTTTTTCTGCTCTCCAACTTGCTTATTTTGGTCATTCATCCACTTTTATGAAAATTAAAATCACCTTTCATGTTCATCATGAAAAAAACCTCCACTTGCTAAAATTCAATGCCCCTTTAAATTCAATATAATGAAAGTTGTGAAAAAAGATAGACATTTCTATTTTCCTTCATACTTTTATTTAAGTCACTGCTCTAAGGAATCTCCTGTAGCAGGCTGGGAATTTTAGTTGACTTTGATTCAAAGTTCATTGTCTACAGTTGGTGGGGTACGTCACTATAATTTTAGGCTCCAAGTCTTAGTGTTTCTGTTGCAACCTACATTTTCCATTTCACATGCAATTTTCAGATTAATTTGGAGCTGTGTTACTTCATGTTGATTTTTTTATCAGAAAATGTCCTTGGTTGTGCCCTGTATGCTTGATACTCTGAAGTGATGCCTTCTCCTACTTTGCTAGATGCTGTTACTGCATGAATTCCTGCAGTCATCCTCTCATATTCTCTTTTATAGCTTAGAAATGATACTTCAGTTCACCTCCTCTTTGCTGGTTTGTTATAATGAACCTGGAGATGCCATTGCTGGTGCTTCTCTGCCATGATTTATTCTCAGATTCTTTTTTTATGCGTTTTTTTTGACCAAGTTCACTTTTGTTCTACCTTATTATGGTGTTGAACACTGAAATGTTAGTGAGCAGGGGAAAGTACACGTACAGCTACTGTGTGGAAAAGCTTTTTAGGAATTAAATAGTGTCAGAATGTAAACTGTTTGAAAGTACGGAATCATTGGAATTGTTATTCATGTTCCAATAGAAGACCTGATTTTTGAATGTCTTGTTTTTTTACATGTAAATTGTCAGTTTAAGGCTAAAATGTCTTCCAGATATTTTGTATAACCCTTTTTTACTTAACCCTTTCATTAAGAAATACAATAATGCTAATTAACTTCAGAAGGGGCATTTCAGTGTCTTGGTTAGCATGAACTGGAGCAAACTCTGGAAAGTGCCTTTTGTGCATTTCACTTCTATAAGCAAAATTTTTTTAGCCATATGTATCATCTCAATATATGTGGGCACAACAAAGGTGTCAAGATTTACTGTAACACCTCCCAAGAAAAATACTGGGGTACTATGTTAAAGTTTTCTGTGTTGACATCATGGCAGTGTGTTCCAGAGTGTGCAGCTGCAGGAACAGTCACAATATATTTGCCCAACTCTGTTTAGTAACTGGTGCTGTGTAAATGTGTCTGTAATGTCATTGGCCAAAGCACATAGAGACAGCAGTAAAAAGGAGCAAAATGTAAGAATTCCTGCATGCTTCTCAACAGGTGTGGAGCAGCATGTCACAGTATTTATGTCAAAATACTGTTCATGAATTTTGAGGCAGGGAGAACTGAAATAAATTTGAACTTCAGAAAATTCTGCCAGATTGCAAATGGTTAGATGTAACAGAGATAGATTTGCTTTTCGTACTATCTACATATTTTGCTGATCGACTCTAGGCTGCTACTATAGTTCTCTGATTTCCTCTAGATGGCAGGAACATCAGATTTACACTGGAGAACTGCTTAATACCTCATTCTCCAATTTTTTTTAGTATTGTCTCTTTGTTTTTCACTTATATTTCAAAGATATCTGTGCAGTCTTTATATACAAAGGTCTTGTCTTATTCCTTCTCTGCTGGGGTTCACAGAATGAAAAAAAGTCATCTCTAGTTAGAGCAGCTACACTGGCACTTTGAATTACACAACTGCACCTTCCTTTGGAGAACATGTATGTATCTGTTTTAAATAACAAGGGAGCATAATTTTTCCAGTTAAGAACTGGAAGATACATTTTTAAAGATAAAGGTAGAATAAAAGTTACAAAAACCTTCATTGCCAACGGCAGGCAGAATCATTTTTTACTCTGTTATTCAATCTTAGTAAAGCTGATCAACTCTACACTACAGCTTCTCCTTTCTCATTTTCAGCTGCGGTGAAGTTCTGACCTTCATACATACACTGTCCAACACCATAGGAAAGCATGGAGAAGGCCTTGACATTTGAACTTTTTGCTTCAGTATGTAAAAAACACTATGTACATTTTTGAAGCCTTGTTTCTTAAATTAGGATGGTTGTGTTTAAAAACATTCCATTTGCTACTATGTAAATTGCAGATCTAAAGTTCCCTTTTCATGTTGCTTCCTTGGCAAAAAGGTGGTAGCAGTTTTTGTTCTATCCTGCATGTTCTTCTGGAATCCAAATAATTTTTGTCTATGTCACGAAAAAGAAAAACCTGCTGCAGTCTGCTTTGGTTTTAATAAAGTGTACACAGTAGCAAAGTGCATTTTTGTTTGGCTTTGTTTGTTTTAATGCTCCCTTTGATGTTGGCATATGTATATATTTAGATATACTGCACTGTTGTACAAGAATTGTTTTAGTAAATAACACTATTTGTAAAAACTGTTAATTGTTTTTGGTATGAATGCAAAATATTAAAGTTGGAGTATTTAGTTCATTATGTTGCAAAGTCAATTTATAAATTTTATAGAATAATAATCTGAAAAGGGCTTCTTTTGCTGGAAGGACTTAAAGATACAATAAGCAAGGTCTATTAGAAGTACTTAAGTTTTCTGGTTTCAGATGAGGTGGAGGTGGGGTTTTTGTTTGTTCTGGTTGGGGAGGATTTGTAGGTTTTTTGCTCTTGTTTGATGCTTACACATAAATTACATTATCTTTTTTAAAACAATCTGTCATTGATTTCCTTTAGCTAACTCAGATAATCCATTGTAGATCTTATTTCAAGTATGCTGCATGTCCTCTATCTTTTGGTAAATACAGCATCGGTATTTTAAAGGGATTTTAAAGAACAAATGGAACCAACTGTGTCTGTACTGTCTGATGTTGGTTACAGATGAATAAGCTGATTTTATGGTAGCTTGACAGTTCATTTCTGATGACAGCAACACAAAATAATATAGAACATGCTGTTTTGATTGATGTGAAATGTCTTGAAGATCAGGCTAAAACCTAGTTTATGAATCTTAAAGTGCTGTCAGAACTGAAGCTTAATAGACTTGACAGCTGTATGCTGTGCTCTTAAAACAATGTTAAGCGTAATTTTCTTGCTTAAATTGCTATGGACACCATGCATGGGACTTTGGGAGCAGTGGGCAGCAGTATCAGTGGCCTGTTCTTAGGGTCGCTTCTTAAAATGTTCTTAGGGTCGCTTCCTAAAAATATGAGCCAAACCCCTTAGAACAAGAGGTTATGTGGATTGTGGGTTAGTCAGTAGGAAAATTTTTGTCTTTCAAGAGAATATCTATTTAGTTGACAGAATTAAAAGTTCTGCAGATTGTGTAGAAATGAAACTTGTGTTTTGGAACAGGGAGGGGCAATTAATGTCGAGTTTACTTTATTGCCTATCTCTTAGATAGAAAGCATTTCTGTTGGGATGCCTATAATAAAAATAGATTTTGAGAGTTTGTTTCATAGTACTTAAAGCTTATTGTAAAATCTGTTGCCATGAACCTGGGCAAGAGGTAATATAAGCACGAGTCTGTATTTAAGGAGCTGGAGCCAACTCAAACTTTTGAAGAACTGGTTCAAGTCTCTCTTCATAGCACTCACTTCATAACACATTTGTGAAGCTGGAGACCTTTATGAATTGTCATGTTACTCTAACTGGTTTTTGAAGTCTTATTCTACTCTGTTGCAGGATAAAGATTTTTCTCTCTCACAATATTTTTGAATTTAAATTTCTAGATTATTTTAAGTCAAGTCTGTTATTGTTGATACTGATTGTGATCTAAGTTTTAAGTGAGAAATGAGAATTAAGCCATTATGAGACAACCTGTGGGAGAACTTCCACTGATTAAGGCTGATTTGTACTCTTTAAAATTCACATCAACCCTGGGCGTGTACATGGGGAGAACACACTAATGCAGATAATCATGTAGGGCTAAAAAAGACAAATGTGTTTTGAGTAAAAGGTTTAGAGCATTTTTAGCATACAATCTTCTGATATAATATGTGGAATGTGGTGATTGTGTCACCTAATATTTTGCTTTGACTTTGCTTAACCCTGTTCAGCATGAGTTTGAGTCCTGCTGCATGCACCTTTGATTGCTAACAAACAATGCAGCTTGCTGCCTACGCCCCATGTTCCCATCTTGGTGACGTGCACTGCCTTAGCAGCTGTGCTTTGGGCCCTTGGAGAGGAGAAGAACCCAGCAGGAAGGTGGAGGGTGCTTGGCAGAGCCTGTTGGCATTGGGACACTGCTCAGCAGCACAAACTGGCTGGTCAGTGTCTCTGTTTATCGCTTTCTGGCTACAGGAAGCATGCATATCAAGGAGTGGAAGCCTTCAATACATACATACCTGGGCCGCTCACGGTTTTGAAGCTTGATTTACTAATGACACTGACTGCTACTGAAATCACACTGGAATCTGTTTCTGACCCGTTGTGATGGCTCACTCCTGTTGACTCATGCATCCTCAGGTATTTGTGGATTATGCAGATGTGCTTTATTTTGCAGTCTGTGTGTCAGACTGTCCCAAATAACTGTGCTTTTTAAAGGAGTGTGATCATTTAGTTTTACTGTGCTTCTTAAAGGACTGTGAACCTTTAGTTCCCTTGGTTTTAATGGCTTTTAGACTTGTCAAAATTTCCCCAAATTAGTCTTTTTCTTTGCCTTGTGAAATATTGTCATAGCTGATGCTGAAGAATGGTTAGGCAAATCCTTCAGCAAAACTCATATGGCCTGATGATTTATAGGCAATACAATGATTTTCATAAAAATATGTTGGTTTACATAAGAACAA